CAAAAAATAAAATAAAAGTAAGATAAACTAGGTGTGGTATCACACACATTTAATCCTGGCACTTGAGAAGCAGAGGCAGATTTGAGTTTGGGAGCCAGCCTGGTTTACATAGTGAGTCCCAGGTCAACCAGGGATACATAGTGAGATCCTGTCTTTTTTTAAAAAAAAAAAAAGCCAGGCATAGTGGTGCATGCCTGTAGTCCCAGCACTTGGGAGGCAGAGGCAGGCGGATCTCCAGGTTCAAGGCCAGCCTGGTCTACAGAGTGAGTTCCAGGCCAGCTGGAGCTACAGGGAGACCTTGTCTCAAAAAGCCCAAAAAAAAGTAAGATTAAATTCTTACTATTTTGTCCTTAAATTATATTGCTTCAAAAGTAAAAAAGCAGGAAGATCTTAAGTTCAGGGCAGTCTGGGCTGCATACCAAGACTCTGTCTCAAAAACAAATGGTCTGGAGAAATAGACTAGCAGTTAAGAGAGCTACTACTGCTCTTGTAGAGGACCCAGGTTCCGTTTTCAACACCTACATGGCAGTTTACAACCCTCAGTAACTCCAGCTCCAGGGGGATCTGATGCCTTCTTCTGGCCGCTGTGAGCACTGCATGTGTCTGGTGTGTATTTATAATTAAGTCCTTTTTTAAGGCAGGATCTCCCTATAGTCCCAGCTGGCCTTGAACTCACAGAGATTCTCCTGCCCTCTGCCTCCCAAGTGCTGGGATCAGAGGAGTGTGACACCACACCTGACACCTCTTCTTTATTTGCCTGGCAAAATAAATCCTTTCTTTAAAAAAATAATGTTATTGTTAACTTGTGAATATGTGTTGTTCAATGTCTTATAAATCATTTAAAGCCAGAGCTCCCTGATGCGAGTAAATACATAGATGTGGTTTACAGTTTAGTGCAGGTTTTAAACATTTAGTTCTGTTGATTTTGACAAGTGTGTCTGCCTGTATCATTCTCACCACCATCCAGGTAGACATTCTCACATTCCCAGCACATGCTTGCCCACCCCTCCATGCTGCTAGTATCTATAACTACAGATGCATTTGACCTACTAGAGCTTTATATCATTAGACAGTTTTCTTTCTGAGTTCATAGTATCAGATACTGGACCAGCAAGGTGTTGTTCATATTAGTGGAGCTGTACCGGGATATACTTACAAACTGCAAGTGCATTGTGTACCTAGAAAGTCCTTGCCAGGAATTTCTAGCAATCTGTAGGATGAGCTGAGAATGTCCCTTTTTATCCTTCCTATTTCCTGTCTATCAATTTTTTTAGTTAGCTATTGAAGAAATAACTACTAGCCACTTGGTTTTGTTTTTGTAGGCTTCCTTTTGTTTATTTAAATATAGCAGGACAGTCATTTTGATGAAATACTGCACGGGGGATAGTGGCCAGAGTTGGGTAACATGCAATGTACAGAACATTTCTGCCATCCTGAACTCACCCATGCTGTCTACCCATACTCTGTCTTTTCTTCACTCCGGTCCTTGGACACTGACCTCTGGCCCTACAGTGTTACCTTTCTAGAATGCCTACTCTGGGATCATACTGTACTCGTCCATTTGTGTCTTGCCTGCTTTCATGTGGTGTAACTCATTAGGATTGGTAAGAGGGGAAAACTGGTTGCTGGTTAGTGCCCTGTGAGTTCTTGGTCCCTGGCTGCCTCTTTTTCTAAAGCCTCTGCTCACCACCGCTGCTTCATGCTTGCATTTAGTCGGGGAGAGAAGGTAGAAGGTGGCTATTTTGTTGTAAAAAATCTTTTTCTCTGTTTTTTAGACTAAATAAATTCTGTGGGTTTTGTCTTCATGTTTATTGACAATTTTCTGTGGTCTTCATTCTGTTATTAAGCTCAGATGTGGGTTTTCCTTTCTGATGTGTGTATGCAGGTGTATGGGAAAGCTGGAAGTCAGTGTCAGGCATCTTCAGTCAGTCTTCACCTTTTTTTAAATTAATTCATTTTTATTTTATGTCTATGAATGTTTTGCCTGAATGCATGTATGTAAATGCACCACGTGTGCATATTTTATTCATTTTTATTTTATGCGTATGCTTATATTGCCTGCTTGTAGGTAAGTGCACCCATGTCGTGCAATGCCTGAGGAGGACAGAAGAGGTCGTAGGAGTCCCTGGAACTGGAGTTACAGACAGTTGTTAGCTGACATGAGGGTGCTGGAATTCAAACCCGGGTCTTCTTCAAGAACAGTCAGTGTTCTTAACCCCTGAGCCATCTCTCGGTCCCACCCACCTTAGTTTTTGAGACAAGGTTTGAGCTTTCTGAATCTGGAGCTTACCGATTCTGCTGGGTGTTCTGACTGGCAAGCCCTAGGCATCCTTCTGTCTCTACCTCTCCAGCACTGGAATTATAGGCACTCACACTACACCTGGCTTTTTACTGAATTCTTGGGATCCAAACTCAGGTTCTCATCTTTGCATGCATCAAACACTTTACCACTGAGCCATCTCCCTAGCCCTATGTGGTGAATTCTCTTTGCTATTTTATTGAGACGTAGTCTCATTATATAGCCCAGGCTTGCCTCAAAATCTCAAGTTGCCTTCCTCAGCCTCCCTACTGGAATTATAGGTATGTGAACCATTGTGTCTGGCTTTTGGTGGAGCATGGCTACAGCTTTCATCAAGTTTTTACTAATTGTGGTATCTAAATCTTCTTAAGAATTATCCCCACCACCACCACCCCATTATATCAAGAAACTCATTGCAATGGTGCTGCACACCTTTAATCCCAGAACTTGTGAGGCAGAGACAGGTGGATCTCTGTGAATTCCCGGCCAGCTAGGGCTACATTGTGAGAGCCTGTCTCAAAAAATAAAAAGAAATTAATTGCTTAGTCGACATTTTGCATCTGATATTATGAGAGCTGAGCTCAATCTCTAGAGTCCACATAGTGGGAGAGGACTGACACACTCAACTTGTCTTCCAACCTAACATACATAGCCTCCCTCCCCCAATAAATAAGTATAAAAAAGATGTGTTTAATCCTTCAGAGAATGTTGAGGCAGCCAATCCAGTTTAATTTAGACTCCCAAGTTTTTTTCTTGCCATCTTTGTGTAAAACCTTAACTCTCAAAGCCTTTGTGAATTCTTTTGAGCTTGCCTATGTGTTTGCAGCTTGGAGTAACTCTAGGTTTTTTGTTGGTTCATGAAGATTAGTGAACAGTCTGTCCTCTCCATGCTCACACACACACACACCCAACACACACACACATAGCTGCTTCCTTCCAGTCTGGCTAGGAAAACATGGTTTCTCTCTGAGTTTTGGATGCCTGCACCCTCCAATAAATAAACCCAAGAGACAACTAAGAAAAACTGGGAGGCCATCCCACTGACAGTTGGAGAGCACTCCCCATTTTCTAGGAGCCTTAGATTGCTGTTTTAGATTATATACAGATCTAGTTATAATCATTGGAGCAGGTAAAATGGAAGCCCTAGAACGTGGTCAGCAGGGTACTGTGTAGGCCATCACAAGCTCATTACCACATTGTCACTAGGTGAATCGGGCTCTTCCTCATTCCAACATGGTCTACAATCTCTACAAGTATTCAGTACCAGAGGATATGTACCAGGAACACATCAATGAGATCAACACTGAGCTGTCGGCACCAGACATTGAGGGCGTTTATGAGACTCAGGTGATTTTCTCTGGGGTCACCCGCTACCTGGGTGAAGATCCAGCTGGATGATAGGAGAAGGAGAAGGGAATTGGGCAGGGGACAGAAGTGACATGGACAGTGATGGGCATGAGCTGGGGACACCCCCCATAGGAAAGTGGCTCTCAACAGCATGGCTGCCAAAGATGGCCTGTTCTGGGGAGTGACAGGCTGTGCTGGAAGGTATGGCTATAGCATGAGCCAGGGGGCTAGAGTCTTCCAGTCAGCCCAGTGTACTATCTGCCCACTCTCCCAGGTCCCATTGTTATTCCGGGCTCTTGTACAGCTGGGCTGTGTGTGTGTTGTCAATAAACAGCTGGTGAGGCACCTTTCCGGCTGGGAAGCTGAAACCTTTGCCCTCGAACACCTAGAGATGCGTTCTCTGGCCCAGTTCAGCTACTTGGAACCAGGTATGGCCCCACCAACAGCCCCATCACCTCCTTTATCTCCCTGTGTCTCTGGTGACCAACTTACTTTCTTCTGCAGGGAGTATCCGTCACATCTACCTCTACCATCACTCACAGGGCCACAAGGCACTCTTTGGAATCTTTATCCCCTCACAGCGAAAAGCATCTGTGTTTGTGTTGGATACTGTGAGTTCTTGGGCCCAGGGGACCTGAGAATATGTGGGTTGGCAGAATCTAGGGAAGGAATATGCTATCCCCGCTACTGAATTGGGATTGGAATGGCATGACTGCCCAGCTTCACGCACACAAAGTAGGCCTGACATAGCTGGTATTTGCCTAGGTACGCAGCAACCAAATGCCTAGCCTCAGTGCCCTGTACTCAGCAGAGTATAGTCTGCTGCTGGAGAAAGTAGGCCCTGAGCTCCTGCCTCCCCCAAAACACACCTTTGAAGTTCGTGCTGAAACCAATCTGAAGACCATCTGCAGAGCCATCCAGCGCTTCCTGCTCTCCTACAAGGTACGGGAAGGTGGGGTCCTGCGGTGAGTCTCGTACTCCAAGGTTTTGTCCCCTGAGCTCTTTCTGCCTTCTGCTCAACCCAGGAAGAACGCCGGGGGCCCACACTGATTGCTGTCCAGTCCAGCTGGGAGCTTCAGAGGTTGACCAGCGAGGTTCCTGTCTTAGAGGAGTTCCCAATAGTGCCTGTTCACATGACTGACAAAATCAGCTATGGAGTCCTGGACTGGCAGCGTCATGGAGCCCGCCGCATGATCCGGCACTACCTAAACCTGGACACCTACCTGTCACAGGCCTTTGAGATGAGCAGGTGAAGAAGAGGGGTGTAGCTCAGTAGTAGAATCTGCCTAGAACATACAAGACCCTGGATTCAATTCCAAGTACCACATGCACAAAAGAAACAACAGGCTGCATACCCACAATGTGAGGTCCTGTGAGTGGACCCTAGGTGGGGCTAGCATACCTGGCACTGAACTCCTGCCTCTGTGCAGGTATTTCCACATCCCAATTGGAAACCTGCCACAGGATATCTCCACCTTTGGCTCTGATCTCTTCTTCGCACGCCACCTCCAGCGACATAACCACCTGCTTTGGCTGTCCCCTACCTCTCGTCCTGACCTGGGTGGGAAGGAAGCTGATGACAATCGCCTCGTCATGGAATTCGATGACCGAGCCACCGTAGAGATTAACAGTTCTGGCTGTTATTCCACTGGTGAGTGAGAGACAGGGCAAGACTGGCATATCTATCACTTAATGATCCCTTCTTAGCACCTGGAGCTCAGTCTTCAACCATGTGAGTTAAATTAAGAACTAAGCCCGGCATGGTGGCACACGCCTTTAATCCCAGCACTTGGGAGGCGGAGGCAGGTGGATCTCTGAGTTCCAGGACAGCTGGGGCTACAGGGAGACCCTGTCTCAAAAAGACCGAAAAAAAAAAGCTATAGGAGGACATCCTGTGGCCAAAGGTCCTGACTATCCTGTTAGTGGTGATGATTGGGTCAGGCTCTGGGAGATGATGCTGGTGCTAACCAGGGTGCATGGACAAGCTGTGTCTCCCTACAGTGTGTGTGGAGCTGGACATTCAAAATTTGGCAGTCAACACTATACTCCAGTCCCACCATGTCAATGACATGGAGGGGGCTGGCAGCATGGGCATCAGCTTTGATGTGATCCAGCAAGCCTCCCTGGAAGACATGGTCACAGGCAATCAAGCTGCCAGTGCCCCAGCCAGCTATGATGAGACAGCCCTCTGCTCCAGCACCTTCAGGTATCTACTTTCATGCTATCTGCTGCCCTCCTAAGTAGGACAATGGGGAGACCTTAGCATTCCTGAGATTTCTCTTACTCCAGGCATCAATGTAGTCAGGGGCTCTGTGACCCTGACCATATCCCATTTCATCATTGGTGCTACCTTCTGACCTTTACTTGTGGCCAGAGGTGTTTCCCATGAAGAACTTTCTAATCCATAGTTGCTTTTCATTATAACCAGAGGTGGGTCTACAGGAAATCCCTGGGCACCCAGATCAGTAAGTCATAGTGGTCAGTATTAGCTGTCAGAGTATGGTTAGCACTTGCTCCTGATAATGGAAATAATGCATACTGTATAGTGCTTCCTTTGTGCCAGAAACACTGAACATTTGGACTCTGCCTGTGTCCCCAAAGCCCTGCAAAGTGGTTCTGTCTTCACCCGTACTAGAGATGATCAACCCTAGGTCAGGGAGGCTGAGTTCATAGTGTATCTGTGGCTCAGTTTGAGGTAAACATTCAAGTCTGTGATTCGAGACCACCTGTCTCAGCCCTGTTGCCTCCAAATGAAAGGAAGAAAGGAATTTGCTGAACTAGAACAAGGAGAGTTGGGAGACTGAGAACAGGTTTATGGCAGAAAAAGTGGTTCAACACCGAGAGGGAGATGAAGGTCAGACCGAGATGACAAAGACCAACAGTCAAGGGAAGTGGGCATTCATGCAAGGAAGCTGTGATGAAACTGATCTCAGCATCCTGACCCTGGCCTCTAAGTTTTGTTGTAAAATTATTTTGCTGACCCCATAAATTGATCCAATTCTCATGCCTGGTAAGATTTTGAAAACCTTAGCTAAATTGTTCCAGGGCTGGGGAGATGGCTGATTGGTTACAAGCACTGACTGCTCTTGCAGAGGACCCAGGTTTGGACCCCAGCACTCACGTGGTGGCAAACAACTGTCTCTAACTCCAGTTCCAGGGGATCTAACACTCTCTTCTGATCTCCAAGGGCATTGCATGACATGGGTACACTTACACACATGCAAGCAATACATTCATACACATAAAATAAAAATAACAAAATAGCCGGGTGTGTTGGCACACACCTTTAATCCCAGCACTCGGGAGGCAGAGGCAAGCGGATCTCTGTGAGTTCAAGGCCAGCTTGGTCTACAGTCTGCATATTGAGTTCCAGGACAGCTGGGCTACAGGGAGACCCTGTCTCAAAAAGACGAAAAAAAAAAAAGCAAAATGTTTTTTTAAAAAAAAATAATAATAATAACATTAGGGACTGGAGAGATGGTTCAGCAGTTAAGAGCACTGGCTGTTTGGAGAAGACCTGGGTTCAAATCCCAGCACCCACATGGCAGCTAACAACCGTCCATAACTCCAGTTCCATGGGATCTGACACCATCTTCTGTTCTCCAGGTGCATTTACACAGATACAGGCATAACACTCATAAACATAAAAAAATTTGTTTTGAAATGAATCAAAAAAAATTTTTTTTATGGTGTTAAATTGGGGTTCCAGTGTCAGCGCAGCTAGAAACACAGTTCCTCATATAGGAAACTTGTCCAGACTAGCAGATACTCTGTAGCTCCTGTCCAATCCGTGTTCCATCTATGCTACCTGGGCATTGCTTTGGCCCCCAAAGTGCTGCCCCCGTGTTCTCCCTGGTGTCAGAAAAGCGTAATTTGGGTCAGACCCTGGTTCTTCACATGGAAGGCACACATTCAGCACAAACAGGAAACAGGTTCAGAGATTCCTATTTAAGGTCCCAGGCAAGAGGGTATATAGTATGTAAGACCAGGAATAGTCAACAGAGGTCAGAGTGGTGTACACTGGCAAGTGGTTGAATGTTCCATTAAAGGAAGTGGGAGGAAAGCAAGGAGCCCAGTCTCTAAGACCAGGAAAGATGTCTCCAAGTTTTTCTGGCTGCTGGTTTCAGCTGTAAAGTATGGCATTAAGCCAATTAGCAGTAGTTTTTGTTGAGTTGCTTTCATCACAGGTGCCCATGATGGATTTGTGCCTCTTACTGTGCTTCTGTAAAAGAGCAAGCACCTACGACTGGAGAGTTTGGTTCCCAGAAGTCCCATCAGAATGCTCAACCACCTCAACTCCAGTGGATCCAATATTCTCTGGCTTCCACAGGCACCTGCACTAATGTGCCCATACCACCCCCCGCACACACACACACCTTTTTAATATAAAAATAAATCTTAAGAAGGACAAAGCTGGGAGTGGTGGTGCATACCTTTAATCCCAGCACTCAGGAGGCAGAGGCAGGCAGATCTCTGTGAGTTTGAGGCCAGTCTGGCCTCCATAGTGAGTTCCAAGTCAGCTGAAGCTACTGAAAACCCTGTCTCCAAAATACCAAAAAAAAAAAAAAATTAAAAAAGGACAAGAGCTGGGGCTGGCAAGATAGCACAGTGGTTAAGAGCACTAGCTGCTCTTGCAAAGGACCCAGGTTCAGTTCCTAGGACCTAACAACCATCTGTAACTCCAGTTCCAGGGGATACGATGCCCTCTTCTGGCCTCCATGGGATTTGCACGCACACACACACACACACACACACACACACACACACACGAAGGCAAAATAAAAAATACATTTTTGAAAAGTAAAGCCAGGTGTGGCACACGCCTTTAATCCTAGCACTTGGGAGGCAGAGGCAGGCAGATCTCTGTGAGTTTGAGGCTAACCTGAGTTCCAGGCCAGCTGGGGCTACAAAGAGACCCTGTCTCAAAAAGACCAAAAAAAAGAAAAACGAACAAGAGCCTGTCTTGTGTCTCTGTGTGGGCATCTGGTGAACAAGTGAGTTATGTGGAGGGAGCTGGTAAAGGGGGTAAAATAGGAAGCTGACATGGTATGGGGCCAATGGAAATAAGTTTAGACAGAGGCAGTTGGGGGTTGTGAGAAGGGGCAATGAAGGCAGTGGCAGCAGATGGTTGTGCAACACCCTTCTATGCCTATCTTTCAGGATCCTGAAGAGCATGGTTGTGGGTTGGGTGAAGGAGATCACACAGTACCACAATGTCTATGCTGACAACCAGGTGATGCACTTCTACCGCTGGCTCCGGTCACCGTGCTCTCTGCTCTATGACCCTGCCTTGCACCGGACGCTGCACAATATGATGAAGAAGCTCTTCCTGCAGTGAGTGCCTTACCCTGGGCTGTGGCTAAGGAGCATAAGCCAGTGCCTCTGGAATGCCTGAAAAGCCCAGGGCAGGCTTAGCTATTATTGAGGCTCTGTTTATCCTTCCAGAAGGCTAGGCAAACTATCATGGTTATACCTCTTTTTTGTACTATGTGTTCTCATGTACCTTGTTATAATAATGCTTCTCAAACAGCTGAGTGTGACTATGCCATACTAATGGACATTCACCTGTGTCTAGACTCATGCTATTAGAAATAACAAATCAGGCCAGGCATTTTGGTGTGCACGGCTTTAATCCCAGCACTTGAAGTAGAGGCAGGCAGATCTCTGTGAGTTTGAGGCCAGCTAGGGCTACCTAGTGAGACCCTGTCTCAAAAAAACAACAACAACAAAAGAAATAATAAATCAATAAATGGCCTAGTTATAGTCTCATGACTCTGACTATAGATTAGTACTGGTGTAAGTCTGATGACATTATGGATAAATGCTGATCTAGTCAGTGTTGCCAAAGCTCCTTCTACTGAGACTTATGATTAAGAATACCTGTCCAAACTTCTGCCTCACCTGCCTGCTCAGTTATCATTGCAGACCTAACAGGATGAAGGATCGCTCAGGTTTTTACTGTATGATACTTGTTATGGAAGTGAACATTTTCTTCATATCTTTTCTTCTATAGTTTTTTTTCTGTTATTAAAAACTGAATGAAGGCCAGACATGGTGTTGCATACCTGTGATCCCAGTACCACGAAGCTGAAACTGGAAGATTCCTTGAGTTCAAGGCTAGCCTGGGCTATATAGGGAATTTTTGGACTGCATAGTGAAACCTCATCTCAAAACAAACAGAAAAGATTGCTCAGTGGTTAAGAGCAGATCTCTATAAGGTCAAGGCCAGCCTGATCTTTATAGCAAGTTCTAGGCTAGCTAGAGCTACAGGGAGACCCTGTTGAAGGAGGGAGAGGGAGACACAAATAGAAATCCCTCTCTGCCACACCAGCTACTCAGGCTGAGATGAGGATTGAGTTAAAAAATTCAGAGCCAGCTGGGTATGGTGATGCATGCCTTTAATCCCAGCACTTGAGAGGCAGAGGCAGGCAGATCTCTGTGAGTTCAAGGCCAGCCTGGTCAACATAGTGAGTTCCAGGCCAGCTGGGACTACAGGGAGACCCTGTCTCAAAAAGACCAAAAATAATAATTCAGAGCCAGTCTGGTAGCATAGCCAGACTTCCTCTTAAGTGACAAAAAGTAATCTGTTATTTATTGCTTCTAAATCTGCTCTTTTTGCTCATTCTAAGTATAGTTAGGAGACTTTCTGCCTCAGTATCACCATGGTCTTCATGGTTTCTCCTAATATTCTCTGGCTTCATTTTGTACCAAAGTACCTCTTCCATTGATTATGAACTTCACAGGCTCATTGCTGAGTTCAAGCGCCTAGGATCTTCAGTCATCTATGCCAACTTCAATCGCATCATCCTCTGTACAAAGAAGCGCCGAATCGAGGATGCCCTTGCTTATGTGGAATACATCACCAACAGGTTGGTGGAGGGGACATCCTGGTGATGCAGCTGCCATGGCTTTGGAGGGGTGCTTGGAGGAATTCCCATGGCTAGAGGGAAGGTCCTAAAGAATACAGCACAAACCAAGGGTCAGGTCCAGTAGCTGAGAAAGGGTGGCTCCTGCATCATGGTGTACCTTTTGTGGGCCACTCAGATATCAAGCATATTGCTCAAGTTTAGAAGATTCAGGAAGTACCTGCTGTTAGTAAAAAGGTTCTATAAAGTACTGTTGCATAAATTTTTCACACAAGTAGGCATGGGCACCTGAGAATGCTCTGATTCCAAGTGGTCAGTCATACAGAGCCTTCAGTTCCTAGAGTCCATGTTGTACTTTTGACTTTAACCAATGATGCCTGCCTGCATCGGTCACATTCCCCAGGTTTCTTGGGCCAAGGACTACATTGTAACAAAGATGGAGCCTTCAGATTGATTTTTTTTTTTTTTTTTTTTGTCTCCCTGTAGCCCCAGCTGTCCTGGAACTCACTATGTGGACCAGGCTGGCCTTGAACTAAGAGATCTGCCTGCCTCTGCCTCCTGAGTGCTGGGATTAAAGGCGTGTGCCACCACGCCTGGCAGATTAATTTTATTTTATTCATGTCTATATGTGCACATATACGTGCCCAGGGAGAACAAAAGAGGGTGTCAGATCCCTTGGAGCTAGAGTTACAGGTATTTGTGAGCCACCCAATGTGGGTGCTGGGATCCTAACTCTGGGCCTCTGATGGAGCAGTAAGTATTCAAACTGTTGAGCCATCCCTTCAGTCCCCTAAGTCCTGATTTATAATGAACACTCAAGTTCTGGTGCATTCACACCAGACAAGGTTGAACACTCCGTAAGCACAGGGAATCCTGGGAGATCAGGCTACATAACAGTGTTCAAGCAGCAGCAGTGCACTGCAGGAAGGAGACAATTCCTGGTCCATAAGTCTGCTGAATGGTAGTAATAAGTAAGATGGTTGCATTCCTAACCAACACAAGCATAAGACTCTGTAGACCTGCTATCTGTCCCTGTCCACATGGGTTCCAGGTGACCACAGTAAGCTTTCTGTCATGCTGTGTGTTGACAGGACTGTCTTAGCCTCAGTGTTTCACAGAGTAGTTGAGACATGGGGAAGGACAGGACTCCTCATCCACATAGGCTATGGGCTTAGCTCCATAAAGTACTGAGGTGGCCAGGCTAAAGCCACATTGACAAACAAGCTACTGTTTTCCATCAGTCTGAGAATCATCAGGGATGTGCATATATCCTCCTGAGGGACTAGTTTGGATTGTGCAATAACTTAAAAATGTGTGATCTTGCCAGGCATGATGGCACACGCCTTTAATCCCAGCACTTGGGAGGCAGAGGCAGGTGGATATCTGTGAGTTCAAGGCCAGCCTGGTCTACATAGTGAGTTCAGGTCAGCTGAGATTACAGGGAGACCCTGTCTCAAAAAGACCAAAAAAAAAGTGTGATCATTAGGGTCTCTTTCCTCCTTCCCCTCAGATACAGAAGATATGATCAGTTATAGGGGGGCCAACTTGGCTAGAAGTGGTAAGAATCACAAAAACTTATAAGAGCTAGAAAACAGGAACTAGTGCTGCCAGCAACAGGTGCCTGCCCTAAGGTAGACATTGAGCCCCTGGGCTTGTCCCAGTTTCCCTCTGGATCACCTTTTTCTCCAGGGCAGCTGTTCTCGGTAGCCTCTTTTGTGTCTTAGGAAGTTTGAGGGACTGTCTGAATTCACCTGAAGTTCATTTGTAAGTAAAAGGAGGATGAGTAGATAGCTACAAAGGAAAAAAAGGGAAGAACAAGAAAAGCCACTGTGTCATTTTAATAGTTTCTGTCTGACTTCTTGCAGCATCCATTCTAAAGAGATATTCCATTCCCTGACAATTTCTTTCTCCCGATGCTGGGAATTCCTTCTCTGGATGGATTCGTCCAACTATGGTGGAATCAAAGGAAAAGTTCCATCCAGTATTCATTTTGGACAGGTAAGAGAGTTGAATATGACTGAAATAACTGGGACCAAATTTGCCCCCATGGCAGGTACATCTTCCTCAGGGCCTCTCAGTAGCAGCAAACAGCTGACCCCACCTACTTCATCAGTTTAAGAGGAAAGTCAGGAGCACAATGTTAGTCCCAATGGGGGCATGGAGCAGAGACTGGCAAAACTCAGGGAAAAGGAGGAGAGAAAACTGAGGATACTGACACAGCCACACATGGCAGAAAGGCAGACACCCTAGGAGCCAGAGCAGCTCAGGCAGGTGGGTGGCTGGTCAGCAGTCTCAGGTGCTCACCAAGAGCTGGCATACGAACTCATCTTTCGCATAGGATGGGATTCAGCATTAGTGGAGATGGGAGATTCTGGCTTCTACTTGACACCTCTAAGAATAGGAAGACCAAACACCTATTCACCACAGGAAGACCAAAGCTAACAGAGTGTCAGTGCAGGGAAGGGGTGCTAGGTGCCAGGGGCTAGCAGGTGGGGTTCATGATGCACAGACATGAGCCATACCTGTGGGTGAGTAGATAGAGATGGTTGCCAGGAGCTATGTGGGGAAGCAGAATTGATTTGATGGGTAAAGTAACATTTGTGAAGTTAAGATGCAGGTGATCACTCACTCCATGCTGGAATGCCCTGGGAGTAGACTGAGACAATAGAAGCCTTTGTCCTCCATGAGTTCCTCACAAAGGACCATGAAGGAGCTGCCAGTGAGCAGGTGGACCAGAAGCTTAGGTCTCAGCTATCAGGGAAGTTGGGGGGCTAGGCCAGTGCTTCCTTGGGCACCATGGCTCCAAGACTTGGGCAGGAGCAGTACTGGTTGGAGTTGGGATTGGGAGACAGACCTAACTGCAGAGCTCTGAGAAACATGGAAAGAAAGGAGATGTGGCCATCAGGATGATGGCAGAGAGTGTTAGTGTCTGCATGAAGAAGTGAATTCACCCTGGCAGAAACACAGGCCAACAGTAAAGTTGGACCTATGGTAAAATTGTTACTATCCCAGAAAGAGGGTCTTCCTACTTTGTGAGATGGGCTCTCACTTTGTAGCTTAGGCTGGCTTTGGAATCCTGGTCTCTAATGATTCTTCTGCCTCAGCCTTGAGTATATAGCCACAGGTTCAAGGCACCACCCTCCTCAGCTAAAGAAGAGATTGTTAAACTCAGAGGAAAAAGCATGTCACCTAGAAGCTCCAGTTGGGTCGGGCAGTTGAATAATCTTGAAGTATCTTCTGAAAAAGCAAATCAGAATTTCAGTCCCCACCCACCCAAGTGCACTAAATGCATCCCATGGTGTACTGGGTCTTGCATGGTTGTGATCCAAGAGACTCAGGCTTAGGGAGTCCTGTCTCTCATGTCTTGCTACTATATTCTGTTACCATGGTGGAAACAGGGATTGCCTCTGTGTTACAGCCAGACTCCAAGGCAGGGGAGGGAACTGAGGATGAGCAGGATGATGAGGAGGAAGACAAGGAGGAGGAAGAAGGTATAGAAGAATCTGAGGTGGAGGACTTACTGGAGAACAACTGGAACATTCTACAGTTTTTGCCACAGGCAGCCTCCTGCCAGAGCTACTTCCTCATGATTGTTTCAGGTGAGCCGAGCTGAAACATGGTAGCCAGCTGAGTGACTAGAAGTGGTTCTGGCTCCTTGGTGTGGAGAGGGAGACTGGAAAATCAAGTTTGTGGCACCTGCTGCCTTCTTTCCCTATTCTCGCATAGGTCTCTACCTGAGGACATATGATAGAGGTGCTCTCTGTCCTCCCCCTAGGCCTCCTAAGCAGCTACTCCTAAGGATGTCCCAAAAGCGTTTCCCAGTTTGTGTCTAGTAGGTCGGTGGCTTACATCCCTGGGAGCATGTGTGGGCACATATAGTAATAGGATGGCCTGTGGGGCCTTACTACCTTAGGAAACTCCTTTACCTTGAGGATATTTGAAAACCTGGTTATGGTTAGTATGCAAATAAGCATAAAAATTAGACCACTTTGTAATTCAGAGCTGTTCATTAAAACAAAAATTTATAGGCCGGGCATGGTGGCGCATGCCTTTAATCCCAGCACTCAGGAGGCAGAGGCAGGTGGATCTCTGAGTTCAAGGACAGCTCACATAGTGAGTTCCAGGACAGCTGGGGCTACAGGGAGACCCTGTCTCAAAAAAGACCCAAAGAAAAAATAAATAAATTATGATGAGCATGGTCATTAGACTGTCAGCAGATCAACAGTTCACATGCACCTCTTGGATCTGTACCAATAGGTGATTTCATTTGTGATTGCTTATATCTTTGTCATGAAATGTTTTGGGCGTCTGGGGATGGTCAGCATTTGCTCTTGTGAGGATTCATCTTTGCTCATTATCACAATTATCCTATGTATTTACTATTCTAAGGATGAACTCAGGCATCAGCAAATTCCCTTCTTATGTCTATTTCTCTGGCCAGCCACAGGATTCCCTCAGCACCACTGACTCTCTGATCCTGTGGCCTGTGTCTGCCTCTCTCTACAGCGTACATTGTGGCTGTGTACCACAGCATGAAAGACGAGCTGAGACGCAGTGCCCCAGGCAGTACCCCTGTGAAGAGGAGGGGGACAAGCCAATTCTCCCAGGAGTCCGAAAGGGTGGCTGGAGCCCTTCCTGGTGTGTAGTCCCTTGTCGTGGGAGGCTACTACTGTGTGCTATGACCTGACCTTTACGTGTGCCTCAGGTGGCACAGGCAGATGGGTGGAGATACCCAATGCCAGGGCTAGCCGAATCCATCCCTCAGCACTCTCTCTTTCCCAGGAATGATTACCTTCTCTCAAGATTATGTGGCAAACGAGTTGACTCAGACCTTCTTTACCATCACTCAGAAGATTCAGAAGAAAGTCACAGGCTCTCGGAACTCAACTGAACCCTCAGATATGTTTCCTGTCCTCCCTGGTTCACACTTGCTGCTCAATAACCCTGCCCTTGAGTTCATCAAATATGTGTGCAAGGTGAGGGCCAGGTGTAAATCTTTCAGTCATCCCACCAGCATTTGCCAGGTCCCTGTCACATGCAGCTATTGTTGAAACATTTGGGCTTAAATGTTATAGAAGACCCACTCTCATGGAGCCTACACCTGGCAATAAACAGTAAGTCAGTTCAAAGATATGCAGCTATAAAGATATGCAGCTATAGGCCTCTGAAGTTCCTGCAACCAGGCACCAAGGCTCTGGAGGAAGAGAGCTGGTGTGCTGGGAAAGATATAGCAGGTGGTAGGGGTAGAAGGAGTTCATGGATCATGTGCCACCAGTGGGACTGATGAGCCAGAACTAAGCTCTGAGACCAAATGAGGTGACAGAGAGCTTGCTTTCTGGGAAATGCAGGCCAGTATGATGAGATGATATTACCAGTGACCATGCAGGGTCATTACTCAAAGCACTTACTGTCTGTTGTACCATCTGAGCGTCCCAGCGCTTCACTCTGAGACAGAACACTGAAGATCAAGTGACTGTCCAAGGTATGCTTGTAGCGAAGAAATATTCCCAGCTCACTGTGTAAGCCTTTGTTCACTTTGAAATACTTTTATTAAGGTACAGTTGTGCATTTGTGCTGCCTGCTCTTTACCCTCTTCCAAAACCCAAAGGTAGAGTATCTGATATTCCCTGTCCCTGTGTGTGGTTTGTGTTAAAGTTAAGGAAGGTATATTCTCTGGAGCAACATAGGGTTTTTAGAGTGAACAGAGCTGTATCACTTGACTTCAGAACTATCACCACTTGAAAATGTACCCTGCCATCCAGCATCTCCTGATCCTTCCTGTGTCCCTCACAGAACATCACATAAGTGGGACTTTATTCTGTGTAGCCTTTGGGATCTGGCTTTTTCACTTTGCAGAATGCACTGGGGATGCATCCAGGGTGTGTGTCAGAATGTCTTCCGCACTCCTGTCCATTTGCCATTACAGACATCAGAGTTGCTTTTATCTCTTGGTGATTAATAACAGATACTGTAAATGTTAGTGCATTTTTGTATGAACATAGATTTCATTTCTCTTGAGTATAAACCCAGGAAGGGAGTTGCCAGACCATACCAAAAGTGTTGATGGTATACGCTTATAATCCCAGCACTCATGAGGTGGAGTTAGGAGAAATCAGGAGTTCAAAGTAATCCTCAGTAACAGTGAGTTCAATCAAGGCCATCCTGGGCTACATGAGACACTCTCAACAACAACAAAAAAAGTGTATGCTTGACAGCCAGGGGTAGTGATGCACACCTATAATCCTAGCACTCAGGAGGCAGAGGCAGGAGGATTGCTGCAAGTTCAAGGTTAGGTAAGGATACACAGACTCTTAAAAACTAAAACCAACCTTTGAGGCCAGCCTGGTCTACATAGCAAGTTCCAGGCCAGTTGGGGCTACA